TGGCAGTTGCCGACACACTTCAATTATTGTTACTAATTCATTAGATTAATTGTGCAATTAGCACTATAAAGAAAGGGGGTGGCATCATTCATTCTGCAGAAGAAATTTTTTCTTCATATGCTTAAGTTATTTTCTTTATACGTCTAAAGAAATAATACAGATAATTCACGGTCTTTTGGAAGATTTTCCAAATCCCAAATACAATTAATCAGTCAACATGAATCCATCAGGTATGCTTCCGCTATTCGGTTATGATTCTCGATTATTCAATATGAAAGCTCTTGGGATTAATATCGATTTATTTCGAATAAAGTTAAATACAGTTTTCTATCATTTAGTTCAGTTTCTTGTGATCATTTTGGTGAATATCTTGCTGTTATTATGTGCTAAATTAAGAGTGTTAGGTGATCAATTATGACCTTTAAGTGTTAGAGAAGTTTTGGCCTAGATAAAGGAGAAAAATGCACAATTTTTGTATGTTTGTTTGTAACTTGTTGAATGCCTTTTTGCTGATTCTTTTTGAGTGTGTTTTTCATGCTATTTGTGTAGTGTTTTAGCATATTACGTTTAGTCTTAAGGTCACTAAACTTGTTGTATGAAGAAAAAGATAGAAGTGGAAAGAGACATGTAATGGTGCATTTTTTTAATTTCATTTCATGATTTGCTTTATATGTTCATGTGAATTTTGGTACCTTATGAGTATTCTTTTATGCTGAGAGGTTGCGACGTGTTTAAGATGCTAAAGTTGGAGAATGTTTGAGTCTATGTTTCAGTTTGTGGCATTGAATGTTATTGGTCAAGCATAAAAATAAAAAAAAAGTAAAAAAAAATGGGTGTGCTATTGAGTTTTATTTTTGGTGGTATTTTCCCGAGCCGTGAAAATGGTTGGTTGATGAGGCTTTTGGTGACTTTAACATGTTGAATTTGGAGTAATAAGAAGTTGGAAATTTTATGTGATTTTATATGCTCTTATCTGATGGACGTGCCATTTCGTGATTTAATTGTTTATTTGGCATTTTAATCGAAATCCCTAATAATAAGACTTAATAATCGAAATTGTAGATTAAGAGGAGTCGAGCCCTCAATCAGTCGCACATGCATTCATTTCAGCCAGTCAATAAGTTTAATAAGGTAGGGATTTTCCATGCTATGTTCTAATTCTTAATAAACGCAAGGTATTTATGTTTGAGGTATGTTTATATTAATAATGTAAGTTGGATGGTGGTGAGCGTACCCGCTCCTAGATATTTATGACTAAATGGTGGTGAGCGTACCCGTTCTAGTCTATTCGCCTGGATGGTGGTGAGCGTACTCGTCCCGGTTCTGTGGGAGGCGACCCCCAGAATGTGCACATGAATACCGGCCAGTGTCCGGAAGTCTGCATTATGAGTATTACAGTTCATTTATAAATATGTCGATGTCATCTATACCTGTTTTTATTATGAATAATTACATAGTATGGAATATTGATGAGCACGTTGATTATTGCTCAGTCCCCACAATTACCATTTTCAGGTTAGCATGTCGGGCGAGACTCAAGAGGGGCGCATGGTGGTCATATGCAGTTCATTTATTGCTTCCGCTATTGAACAATTTATTTTCCGAACATATTATTATCAGCTATGTTGAACATTGTTTGGATTGAAGTTTCAGTTTTTCAATTCATTTATCAGACTAGTATCGATCGCTCTGCTAGGCCTCAACGAATTGAACATGTTCTATGTCGGGATCAGATATCCTGAATTGATTATAAGCAGACATGATAGTAAAGCTAGATACATGTTTAGTAAGTACCCTCAAAGCATGTTTTAAAAAGGTATATGATTTTCGAAAAAGTTAGCTTCATTTTGCAAAACTCTGATATTTTCAATGTACAAGTAGAGGGTGCTTACAAGTATCATGTGTTCAGGAACACCGAACCATGAGTTAATTTGAAGATAGGAACTCCGGTCATGTTGTTACAGAACATGGATCATTCTATGAAACTGTGCAACGGACACAATTGGTTGTGGTCAAACTCTCCACACATGTGCTCGAATGCAAGATATTGACGAGAGATCACACTTGCGAGAAAGTGTTGATTCCTAGAACGAATATGCAACTCATTCTAAGGGTTCCATTTAAGTTATAGCAGCGACATTTTCTACTTATGTTTCGTATTGCGAGTTGCCCAATAATCAGACTAATAATGTTGTGTACAATAATTTTTTATATATGATTTTTTATGAACATTTTTATGTTTGTACAATAAAATACACTTTAACTTATAATACTCCCTAATTAAATACATCTCCTGCATCACATGAGTTACACACTTCTCTATTATAAAACTTAGATCTTTTCAGCTAATTTATTATCTACTAGCGTGCAATATTCAAAACTTTCAACGGGCTATTGGCGGTTGGAGAGCAATGCGCGTAAATAAGTCTCAACCGAGTGGAGACCGCAAAGCTCCTTAACGACGGGCATAGTAGCTGGCACGTCCAGTTGGAATGTCGACTCAGCGCCTTCCAATCCTCCCCACGACTTGAGCTGTTTTCTTGCATCCTTAATCGCTGCTCGCGTGGCACAGTGCACTGATGCTGCCAGAAGCAGCGGCGGCTCACCAGAAGCTGCACCAAAAAAATTGATCAAATTACAAAGTGTAGTGTTTCTTTTCTTTTTTTTTTTTCCTTTTTAAGCTCATGCATTTCTTGAATATTTTGCTCTCAATACTAATCAACAACCAAGCATTTCATCATTTAATGCTTCGGTTAAAGCAGTGAGTACCTTTAGACGAGAGGACACGTTTCTGGTGATGTCCGCTGTTTAGTATTTCGACATTGAATTCTCTAGGGATATTGTCAATGGTCGGGATCTTGTACGTCCATGTCCCGTCAGCAACCATCACACCATCCGAATTGGACGAGTATTCTTCTAGCATGAAAAATCCGAGCCCTTGTACAAATGCCCCTTCAATCTGCATAATCGATATTGATTTTTTTTTTTTTTTGGGAAAATTCAAAACTACGAAAAGCCATTCAAACAAAAACTGGATATGGAATTTTAGAAGTATAATGATTGACCTGTCCCAAGTCTACAGCTGGGTTCATGCTCTGGCCGCAATCATACACGATGTCTGTTCTTAATATTATTGTCTCACCAGTTAGGATATTTACATCCACCTTCAATAAATGATAAAACACCCCATTTGTTAGTGTGATCTGCTCAATGTGGTTGAAATCTGAGAGACTAATCTATTCGATTGCTGCTAAACTGAGAAACATTCAAATATGGATAAACCTGCATATTTACGTCAAAGCATACATCGTACATGCGAAACTCAGATGAGAATAATTCTTACCTCACTTACTGCAGCACCATAGTTCAAGTATCTATTAGAACTTGAGTCAGGCACAAAGTAAGAATTTGCTGCCAAATTCACATTTCGATAATGTGCCTGCATTCAAAAGTAGATTGCTCGATCAGACAAAAAAAAAGAAAAAAAAAATATTGAAAATGCAGTACATAGGACGAACATGAATGAATCTCCTATCCACACTCCAGTAATTAATTTTTTTAAAAAAATCAAGACAATGTCGACCGCGTGTTAATGTATATAAGTACTGTATGACAGCTCTGCAAACTTCACATCTAAGGTTAATAATATTTATCCTTAAACACAAAATAAGTATGGCCAGAAAGTTGAGTTTTTTAGCGTTCGAAAACAAAATTCCTTGTCCTCAAGAGAATCGAAATTTCTTGCATGAAACTGAAGCTGTTCTGTCATGCATTCAAGATACCTGGAGAATCAGATCACCCCATTTCACAGAATCTCTTTCCTCCGTCAACTCTTTCTTAACCGAGGCCAATCTCTCGACCAAAACATTACAGCACAGCCTAACAGCCTCGCAACTCGACTCGGAAGTCGTGCTACCAGCTGTAAACCCTCCCTGCACCACACTCAATGTGTCCGCCTGCACAACCCGAATTTTCTCCACCAAGTCTTCACAAACAATCCCACCAAGAGCATATGCCGCCACCTGTTTCACCTTCGTCCAAAGCCCCTGCCCCAATTCTATGCCCCCAACTTCCACAACCACAGACCCATCCCAAAGTATGCTCACTTTCCCGGGACTCGGCCTCACTAAAACCTCGTACACAATCGGGACACGGGATATACCCCTCTTTCGCCACATATGAGACCGGTTAAACTGCTCGACTTCCCTCACCCTCTGCTCAAACCCCGATGACTGACCCACCTTATTCCAAATCAAAGGTATAGTGTACTCGAACAGTTCCCCGGACGAGTCTCCGTAAAACACCTTCAGACTCTCGTGCGTGTGGAGATTCCTGTTCCTCACGTAATCCGCTTCCACATCGAGAAATGAGGCCACGTGCTCGATTATGGCCTCGGCTATGAAAGATCCTTGGACCTCACCCGGGCCCCGCATGGCGGATCTGCTCGGGAGATTTGTCTTGCACACTTTCATGTCGAAGGAGAGTGCGCCCCAGTCGTATTTCTTGAGGGGCCCCACCATGTTGCTCGGGATCACGGGGCTTATGTCAGGTGTTATGCCGGCATCGATGAGCACGTCCAGGTGTAAGGCCGTGAGCTTGCCATCTGATTTGAATCCGACGGAGTAGGTTATCTTCATCGGGTGTCTGCCTCCGGCGATCATCATGTCGGTTTTTCGGTCCATGTAAATTCTGACCGGACGACGTAGTTTATGAGCCGCGAGAGCACAGACAGTGGCAATCTGGAATATTTTCGAGGACACATCGTATTATTATATATCTAAAATTTCATTTTAAAGTTACTTTAAATGTGATGTTAATAACCATATACTCACAGGCATTGCTTTTATTGCTTTCCCGCCAAAACCTCCGCCGACTCGTCTTGTAAGGACACGGACATTATGATCGGGAACACCTAGACATCTTGCAATTACTCTATGTGCAAACTCGGGGGTTTGACTCGAACTGTAGACCACCATGCAGTTGTCTTCATCTGGGACTGCGAGTGCGGTTTGGGTCTCCATGTAAAAGTAGTATTGTGAACCTAATCTTATCTGTCCATGTCACTTCTTAATCAATTACGGGATAAAGTTTCTATGCACTTCAGGATGAAGGCATAAAATGACTAGGCGTATTTACTTCAATCTGCTTCATCAAAAGGCAGACCATGGTACATATTCTTGGAGAAAAAATCCAGAATATGTAATAAAAGTAGTTGAACAAAATAAAGAACTTCAGATAAATAAAAGCACCTCAGCTGAGAGAATCTTGTGATCAGCTTCAGCCATTCCTTTTGAGAAATCACCAACTTTTCCAGGGTATATAAAAGGAGGAATATCGATGAAACTCGATCGTTCAACAGCCTCTTCAACTGTTAAAATAGGTGGATCTAAGCCTTCTGTATCATAATCAATTACAGCAGTTTTTGCCGCCAAATTCGCTTTCTTTTGTGTCTCTGCAACCTACAGAATATTGTCAACAATTTCAGGACATAACTCAACAGATTTTCAGAGCTATTATAAAGTCTGCTTGCAGTTAACAGGAAAGTTTCACCAACACCAGACAGATTAGGGAAAAAAAAAAGAATAGCTTGTTCATAGTACTTGAGAAGTGCTAGAGCATTACCACAAAAGCAACGAGATCACCAGCAAATCTAGTGACATCATCAGCAAATAAAGGTTCGACACCTAACACGGTCATACTTCCTACGTTTTCCCCTTCTTTTGGGATATCTTTGACAGAGATAACAGCAGCCACTTCAGCTTGTTGTGGGTGAGACTTAAAAGAAATGCCTTTCACTCGAGCCACGGGCTTGGTGCTGCATACAAATGCACCATGCAAACAGTTTGGGGGTGAAGGAATGTCGTCCACGTAAATAGCTTCACCTGAAGATTACGAACCGTAAGTACAATGGGAACAAATACATGCAAATCGTGGATTTAATGGAAATGTGGATTTCAGCTTGATTAAAGTATGGATCAAAGGACGGTACATAAATCACAAGACCCATTTGCTTCCTATACTATGTGATAGTAAAATACACACACATATTATTTTAAAGAACTGAACTACACTGTGAAGTTAATTTTCAGCAGAATCAAATCAAAATGGAACAATCCTAGTTGAAGTTAACCACAATGTACAATATTGAAACAATTTGTTGAGTTTTCCCTCCACAACTAGTGGAAAATCCTTGTTAGTCTAGGTAATAAAAATGAAAACTGAAAAGAAGCATAACTAACCAGAAGCTTGCATGGCAGCACCGAATTTTGTCATAGGTTCACCCACCGGATGATAGTCTTTACTCGATGTCACAATCTGTTTAGCTGATGACAACAATGGGGGTTCCTCTATTTGACTAATTTTGCCCTCATTCTCACTTTTAGCAGCTCCTTCTAGCAATAAACAATTTAAATCCTCGAACAAACCAGTGGATAATTCGGAACCCACACTGGAAAAGCTATTAAGAAATTCGAAAAGAAAACCGACTGCTAAGCTTGACCTGTAAGCAGAATGTGACGTGATTTCTTTAGACACCACATCACCTTTCACCAATTTGACTGCTTCATTCAGAACTTCTACACTAAGCATTTTCCCGTTCAAATACTCCTCGACTTTCCTTGCTCTTGTTGCGTGATCTGATCCGTACGCGCCAAAAGCCAGCTGGATATTATTTACTAAAACCCCATTTGAACTGGAGCTAACATCAGCTAAGAAGGCCGCGTTGAGATAGGGCAATGCATTCCCGAGAGGCCGTGGTGCAGCACGGTAGGTTTCGAAAAACAATCTTGAGCTAGTTTGAATTGAACCATCAACTGCTTTTGGTTCAAGTAAAGGGATGTGTACAGTCAAAAGGACCGTTTTCGGGTCCAAGGGAGGTCTCTTCAAGAACTCCTCAATTTTAAATTTTTCATGTTTATGACCTGTCAGCAGGCTTACACTAGAACCCACAGCCAGAAGTAGTGTGACAACATCGGAAGGGAAACATTTCCTCTGTGCGATAACCAAATTTCCACCAATGCTAGCTGAGTTCCGGACAAAGACAGATGCAAGCTTTTCTAAATGGCCAGCAATTTTGGCGAACACCATATTTCCACTTGAACCTAAGCTCGCTTCACTTTTCTCTTTGAGATAAGAGATGACTTTGGAAATTGTCAAAGCTGCTCCAAATTCGATACCGGACTCATCCGTTCTAATCACCGAAAGCTCAGGAGTATACCTCAGATCAATGTATTTGTCGTACTTTTCTGTTTCTTTGTAATACCCGTTTGCTGTGTTGCCAACAACCAATCTGATCTTTGCCCCATTTTCAACCAAATCGGAATTCAACAACTTTTGAAGCTCGTCGACTGTTGCAGGACTATACCACGAACATTTATCGGAGTTCCAAAGGCCCCTAGACTTGAAACCATCTCCCAATTTTTCAGCATATGTACAGACATGATCCTTTGGATCGTAGGACGGTAATTTACTAATCTTGACATCTTTTGAATCTCCCTTTTTCCAGAAAGAATTAACCCCTAAATCCTCCAAGTCAACATTTGCTGCGAAACTCTTGCAGGCATCGGCAATGGGCCTGTAACCGGTACACCTACAAAGATTTCCCGAAATAGCCTTTTCTGCTTCTGAAGTTGTCAGCTTGGAAAACCCAGCGGACGGTTTTGCACGATTGTTTTGCTTTTCAGCACTGGCGAGTGCCGAGAAAAGGGACACGCACATTCCAGGTGTGCAAAATCCGCATTGAGAAGCATGGAAGCCAGCGAACCTTTGATGGATCGGGTGGAACCCGTCTTTACTGTTTCCAAGGCCTTCGCTTGTTGTAATCGAGCAGCCATTAATGCTGCATAAAAGCGTAAGACATGAACTCACAGTGAAATTCTCAACTTGATTGAGATTGGTATTGTACTTTGACAGCAGAACAACACAAGCCCCACAACCGCCTGCAAAGGTTGAATTTTTTTTTGTCAAGATTAATAGGAATAGCTCCAAAAGTCAGAGTTAAGCTTAAATTCAATAAAAAAAAAAAGTGGTTTTACTTGCCAGAACTAATCTGTCCCAAGAAGAACTTGCTGAAGGCTAATCATTAGGCATAATTCTTGTACTATTAGTAATTTTTAGAGATAATC